TCATAAATAAGTATTAAGTACGACATGGTTTTGTCACCATGCTCAGAAGAGACACCCATCGTTTTGCTTATGAAGATTTTGTGCCTATTTAATGTAGTGTTATACACTGTTCCTGTATACGTTCAGAAAGCCGGTAAAAAAGACTATCAACGTCAATTGTTACTCACATAATTTTTCTCTGATACGTTACACAATAATATGTCACTTCAGTACAAAACAATGCTACCTATAGTCCAAATAACCTTTTATGGCTAAATACAAACAATTTATATAATATTCATAGTTCTTTCTGATTACATTTTATAAACGACTACGGACATCTATGTTTGCCGTCACCATAATCAAGGAGGTGAACCGTATATAATGCTTTTCACGGCTTATTTTCATGAAAACTCAATCTGTAATCTATTTTTGACTAGAAAAATGGTGATTTGACTTGTTTTACTTTGTTAAAAATAACCATATTACGCCAACTACATATTTACATAGGTGGTGAGCACGAAATACGTCAAACTGCTTATAAATTGAAATAAAAACTATCTTCCAATCACAAAGATTACGAGAAGTCACATATGATGGAAAAAAGGCTGTTAATAGCTGATAAATAACGACACATAAGATCCACGACAATATGTTACATGTGCGCGAAAACCCGTAACCTCACACCGAGGACAAGTCTGCCGCAAACACGTGAGAACTCTCCCAGACTGTGATTGGACAACTCTTTGTCAACATCAATTCATAGAACTGGTAAGATAGCTGAAGGCGCTCGGTCATGCATCCACACCAGATTACGTGTGGGAACGCTGTGCTCAACGTCTACTGCAATCGCTATCCAGACTAGATCAAACAATATCCGATATATTGGCAATCGTCAAATACAACTTCTGGTCTCCTCGATTCTGTCTTTTGATTTATCTTGGTGAGTACGAGTTATATTAGGTGTTACTGGTAAAAGCGTTGTCAAACACTGAATACCTGTGCCATTTTCATAATCTTTATATCCCTCGTGTTGTAACTTCGAATTGATTGATAAACTCCTTTTATATCTTTTACCTTCCTGTGTTAAGATTAACCAATTTTGGTTTTACTACTCAGTCGTATTTATATATAACTAAGTCAATTGGATATTAGATTTTCCTCGTTACGTTGTTGTGCAATAGGAAATATGATTGGTAGTCTTATGAATTTAAGATGAAAGACCTCGTGTATTCATTTGGCAAAACAATGTGGACAGAATGCACCACAAAATGTTATGATTAACGATGTTGGGCAATTTGAATTCTACAATAACGATGTAGGAAAGTTTAATTTGCTTGCAAACTATTTTTGTCTGGTAACCTACATCCATCCTTGTGAATTAATAGCTACTGGCTTCTGTGCGAACAGAATCAAACGCCACCGAACGTCATTTGTAGTGTCAACTGCTAATAAAATTTGATAGCAGTTTACCGAATGTCTTCGTGATCAAGGACAATCAATGCTGACTGATCAGTCGTTCTCCGTAAGTCGATACATACCGGAGTTTCTATATTATGTACTTCTCAATTCTATTCCATCTCACCAACAATACTACTTTGGTTAGATATTATCTATTCCGTACAATTACTAAAAAAGCAATACTGACTGGCTACCAGAATTAGATGATCCAGACGGATTTATTTAGGTGTGACTTATCGATGTTTAAAATGATGTATAATTTAATGAAATTACTGATAACAAATGCATCTGACACTATCTACATGTCTTTTATGAACACGATATTGTAGTACATCCTAACATGCTGGATGGTGAAAGGACATTGGAAGTTTAAATGAAATCCTAAATGAAAATGACGCAGAATTTACTCAGTAACTGAATGGAGATACGTCCAATATTTTTCACATACTGAGAATCGATGAATGGTCAAAGAATCTATGGACTCGTATCCTATCGTCAAAATATCAATTCATTTCAAGAATTCAGTTGACTGGTTTTTATCTAGTAGGGCTGATAGAATAAACGGTAGGAGAAGCGAGGTCTTCCTGTACACGAAAAGTACCCTAACCATACAAGCATTCAGGGACATATGAACCGGTGCAATGAATAATGAAATGTAGACAGTGAGATATTGAATTAGTTGTAGTATATTGCAGTCCAGAATATGTAGTAGACGATTTCCTCCTAAGCAAACTTAAGTCTCGTTGTAATAGGGGTAAGAGCTTTATAGAAGGCGAATTCGACGCACCGTATACAAACTGGGTCAGTTTAGAAGTAGGGTCATCGATGACGAAATTCGACTGCAAACTGTTGGAAACCTCGACTGCATTACCTTTATTTCAACACACTAGAAATTCCACAAGATATTACTTAAAAAACTCCTCTTCTCTTTTGAATTTAGTCTTGTGGGGCCCTTTATTTCTTCATCATTTAGATCAGACGATGTTTGTTAACGGGCTCTCCACTTTAGTGGCCCGAGATCTGACTCGAAGTAGATCATAATGATGATTGTTGTTGAAATATATATATCGCCTATCCTCATATGTAATCATCGACTTAAATCGGGTTAGACAATAACGGAATGGACTTCTGAATACATATTTTTTGTATATGAAGCGAATGGAACAGAGAGAAGCAAAACGACGCGTGGTGGAGTCATGTGAGACAACTCCATTTAACCAAGCGTTAATCAAAATTTATAGGCACACAAAAATAAGTTACAGACATGTGATGAGTAATGGGATCAGAAGTGCACACACACATACCCTCATATAAAAACAGCGAAGATTGATAAGTGAATAGTTAACAAGGTTAAAATGTAACTCAACTCGAGTGAATAGATTGGCCTGTCCTGAAACGAGAATAAGACATATGAGCCTAACATAATAACCGACACTACAATCTTCTCACATTTTGACGACGTCGGTCTATTGACTTTACTCCCACCATTAGGGAGAAGTGACCATGCAGTTATATTATTCAAATTCATGGCTGAGTTTGCCTGTCGAACAGTTGCGCCGGCCCGTCCTAACATACGGAAAGCAGATATGTAGGCAATCGAATCGCAGCATCGGCTGAAAACCAGGAAATTGTCTCAAGGGCTTCAGTACAAGAGGCATGGACTTGTTTCAGGCAGTTGTGCAATCGGGCAACTCAACAGTGCATACCCTGGACTGTCTCAAAAAAGAAGCACGGCCAGTCCTGGATAAGCCAGGATATTCGACATTTACTAAGACAGTCCGTTCTGTTCTACTTTACGGCAGCGAAACATGGCCATTAAGAGTAGAAGACATTCGTAAGCAACTAGTATTTGACCACAGATGCCTTAGAAATATTGCTGGCATCTGCTGGGATCACCGGGTAAGTAATAGTGAGGTTAGACGCAGGGTATTAGGGAATGATAGTAAATCAGCTGATGAGGTTGCGAGTCTTCATCCACTGAGATGGTTGAGCCACGTGCTACGTATGCCCGAACACCGATTACCACGTCGTACAATGCTAACCGGTGTTAGAGATGGTTGGAAGAGAATTAGGGGCGGCCAAACCAAAACGTGGCATCAGTGCTTGAAGACACTAACTTCTAGTCTGAGCCATGTTGGTAGATGCAGACTACTTGGTTGGGGTCCGCGTGACTTTCGTAACCAATGGTTGGAGACTCTTGGTGACATGGCTCAGAATCGATCACAATGGTGTCGGTGTATACACTCCCTGTCTTCCCTTAAACTAAGAGATTAAAATCACTTCATATCTTTCTTTCTACGAACTAATTCTTCCTTCCTATACTATATCCTTATTGCAACCTTTGACCTAACGACTCCTATGAATCCGGTGTTCATCTTGTTGTGCTAATGAGGTATGGCAACCTGGACCGATGCACATATGTGCCTGGTCCTACGTTGTAGCTGACTGACTGCAGTATGGCCATCGATTCCAGTTGTACGATATTATGATATGCTTTGTTCAAATTACATACCTGAATATTGTTGAGTAATGCTGGTCCAGATGGATTGGCTCCAGAGGTCTTTAAGGATGGTGGTCCAATCTTAGCGATTAGGTTGACTAATATTTTAGCTAAGATCTGGGAGTTAGACGTTATCCCATCTAACTGGTCACAATCACTTATCGTCCCAATATATAAGAGAGGTTTAAAATCACATCCTGTGACAACCATAGTATCTAAAATACTAGCCTCAATAACTGTCGTACGCTCAACAAGGACTCGTGAACTGCAAACACGAGAGAATCAAGCTGGCTTCAGTACTGGTCGTGGCTGCATCGACAACATATTCACCATTCGTCAGGTTCTAGAACACAGGCATACTTACCGGCGTCCGACAGTGGTGGTCTTTCTTGACTTGAAAGCAGCATTTGACTCGGTAGACCGCGAGATTCTGTGGCAGTGTCCGTCATTGAAAGGTATACCTCAGAAGTACATAAACCTTGTAAAGGCTCTTTACTCTAACACTACTAGTCGAATCAGAGCTTATGGCGAACTATCATCTGCTTTTGCAACCTAAAGTGGTGTCCGTCAAGGCTGTCCACTTTCTCCAGTTTTGTTTAACTTCATCATAGACTTGTTGAGGGAAATAACATTCTCGTCTACTGAATTCTCGGGTATTGACCTCCTTCCAGGAGGTCCACTTATCGACTTAGAATACGCAGATGACATAGTCCTGTTTGGTGAAGACGCTGATAAAATGCAGAGTCTTCTGGTAGCAATAAGTAACAATGCCAGAATGTTTGGGATGCACTTCTCTCCCTCTAAATGCAAGTTGTTGCTTCAGAACTGATCTGTGTCAACACCTGAACTAAGGATAGAGAGTGAAGTAGTCGAACGCGTTGACAACTTCACTTATCTTGGAAGTCTGATCAACCCTAATGGGTTGGTGTCTGATGAAATATCATATGAAATAAGTAACTTGAATCTTATTGATTTGTTAAAAAAAAAGGAATAAAAAATGATTGATGACTGCATATCAGTACTATTAATAAATACTGTTAAACGATGTTATAATGACTGATAATAATAATAATAATAATAATAAGTATAAAAATATTTTTAATATTAAGCACATTGATAAATCATGATAGATCTATCATCTCCTACAGATATAATATTATTTCCTTGAGGACTATAACGAGCGCACCATACCTAAAACAAAATTAAGTAAGAATAAAATACGATACAATTCAATAACCAAAAAAGAAAATTCTACAAACTGTATAAAATCAAAAAGAAAAAGAACATGATTTTTGATAACCAATTTTATATTGTTTACTGATTTGTATCATAATATATACTGAAATCCCTAGATTAACATTTTTGTTCTTCTAACATATGAAGATGATATTGATATTTACAATATAAGACTTGAAAAAAACTACCAACGTGATGAATATGATTGGAAGCTATTTGAAGGTAGTAGATAGATAAAACTAATGAAGTGTAAGTAAAACATTTGATTTTTTCCAAGAACAAACTCATCTAACCAATCGAAATGAATGAAGTACATACAGAATAGTGAATATTTCTGAATAGATAAATTGTTGAAATAGACAAATATTTACTTGTAAATGCAGTATAATAGTAAATTAACTTAATTGAATTAAATGTTTTATTTAATGGTGAATAGGCTTTAAAATCAATGAGTGTATTCTTGACTTGTAAATTAATAGATTAAAAATCTTAATTTTTTAAAAACATTAGAATATGAAGAAGAATAGTACAAAGTATTCAACGTCAATCAGTTCTGATTAACGTACACCTTGGCAAACATGTGCATTGTGTTAAGTTGCCACACCGAATTAGTACGACAAACTACCAAACAAACCGAAATAATCTAGCAGTAATCATCTTGAGAAAAATTAAAGATTGAGAATATGGTTTGAAAAAAAAACATTGAAAAGCTATGCATGCAAAAACACTGGAACTCAGGATCGAGAGGAGGGTAAAGAGTTAATCCATCTGTGGCCATGTGTCCGATTATGAGCCATATCACTCAATGTCTCCAATAACTCAATGCGATTATTGCATGTACACTTTGTTGATGAGCGTCAACTAGTATGAAACCTAGGACCATGGTTACCTACTAACTAATTTCAATCATCTACAATCAAAACATACTGCATGCGATGTTAAGTTATTTAGGCTCGTGACCACATTAAAGATGATCGTTACAATTTGATCAGTACTAAAAACGAAACAAACATGACGCTGGTCACCACTTAATGATCATTTAATGTGAATATACGTGGTGTATACATTTGACAATTTGATTAGTTATTATGATTCTATTGGATATAACCATATATATATATATATATATATATATATATATATATATATATATATATATTGCTTAATGGATTACATCAAATAGAATCCATGTTTATTTTACGTTAGTCTGAACGTATAAGTACAGCTGATTTATAAGCCTTAATCTAATTTAGTAGCAATACAATGAAAAGCCAAATAAAATGGACTTACCTGATCTTCATGTGTATTAAAACAATGTTTTTCTTCTTTTGATGCCAAATCCCAGATTCGAACAGAACAATCAGTGGATGCTGTGACAAGATGTCGATTATCTGAAGCGAAATCTACTGATACAACCCATCCTTTATGACCATTTAAACTAGGGATAACTAGTCGACCATCGCGTCTAAAATAATTAATAGATGACAGGGATTTAGTGTAAAAGATCGAGATACAATTCTTAATTTAAATTGAATACACCCTTATACAGACTACATTGTGTGCATAATTAAATAAAAAAATAACATGTATTTTGTTTGAATATACAAGAATATAAACCTTTTACGAATAATGGTTATAACAGGAATAAGTCTGGTAATGACATCACAGAGACTAAAGACATGGACAGCAATAGTTGGAATTTGGAAAACGTAACTATTCCATTCGCAATCGACAAAATCTAATTTACTGATAGACATAAAGACAATATAAACATTTTGAAGTGCCATTTCTCAGGGCGACTCGCGACGTATGCATAACATTGTGGATATTATTAACTATGAAACGTAAACATTAAATACAATGTATGAACAACTAGGTCAAGGACTAAAAAGTATAAACTACCGATTTAGACTTGAGTAACTGTGTAACACACTATTAGCTTGCACTAATTAACTATAGTGTATAAATATCCTCTATATTGTTATTTGTCAATTCTTGTCAACACAACGAGGCTAGTATACTACTATATTTCTGAAATGATATATACAAACATATCTATATGACTGAATCATAATGAGAAAACCAACAATTCTGGGGAGATAAACATGAACAATACGGAAATAGATTAATAAATAACGAATAGCGAGTGATAATATTTTAGGACTGGTCTGCGTCAACACCTGAACTAAGGATAGGGAGTGAAGTAGTCGAACGCGTCGACAACTTCACTTATCTTGGAGGTCTGATCAGCCCTAATGGGTTGGTATCGGACGAAATCTCAGCACGGATTCGAAAAGCTCGTGTGGCTTTTGCCAACTTACGTCACCTTTGGCGAAGGCGAGATATCCGTCTATCAATAAAAGGACGAGTATACTGCGCGGCAGTCCGTTCTGTCTTACTTTACGGCAGCGAAACATGGCCTTTAAGAGTAGAAGACACCCGTAAGCTACAAGTATTTGACCACAGATGCCTTAGAAATATTGCTGGCATCTGCTGGGATCACCGGGTAAGTAATAGTGAGGTTAGACGCAGGGTATTAGGGAATGATAGTAAATCAGTTGATGAGGTTATGAATCTTCATCGACTGAGATGGTTGGGTCATGTATTACGTATGCCTGAACACCGATTACCACGACGTGCAATGCTAACCGGTGTTAGAGATGGTTGGAAGAGAATTAGGGGCGGCCAAACCAAAACGTGGCATCAGTGCTTGAAGACACTAACTTCTAGTCTGAGCCATGTTGGTAGATGCAGACTACTTGGTTGGGGTCCGCGTGACTTTCGTAACCAATGGTTGGAGACTCTTGGTGACATGGCTCAGAATCGATCACAATGGTGTCGGTGTATACACTCCCTGTCTTCCCTTAAACTAAGAGATTAAAATCACTTCATATCTTTCTTTCTACGAACTAATTCTTCCTTCCTATACTATATCCTTATTGCAACCTTTGACCTAACGACTCCTATGAATCCGGTGTTCATCTTGTTGTGCTAATGAGGTATGGCAACCTGGACCGATGCACATATGTGCCTGGTCCTACGTTGTAGCTGACTGACTGACTGATAATATTTTAAAGATTTGTAAAATATAAAGAATGGATGTGTGAATCATTGTGATTGACTATAGATCATATAGAAAACTCTAATTAGGAAGCTTAGATCTTCAAATACGACTTAGATCAACATTGAATAATTTTATGGATCGATGGTATGTTTATGTTTGGTCAACTGTAGATCATTTTTCATCTTAATTCCGATGCAGTTAGAATATAATGTGACAGATAACTTAATTCTCCTAATGAAAACAAGTTAATAGTCTCACTGACTGATTCAACCCAACTACATACAGTTTATATCTAACCACAATACTGATTATTTGATCATTCTAAGAAAAATGACTGCTGATTTTAATTATTCAACCTTAACAATTATGTTTTATAACACATCGTACTCGTTTATTGGTAAGGAGCCAAAAATATAAATGGTGCCACAGACCGCCTACATTAAAAAGTCAAACAATCTATATCAAAATATCTGTGACTAGCTAGTTCCCGACCGTTGTTGCTACCTTGACGTGAAGGTCGAGCTTGCCTATCGTGATGAAGTAACCGAGCTATATTGGCTGGAACAACCGTTCCCCAAGGTCCTACCATGTCAGACAGGTTGGTTGAAGAGCGGTAAGACTAAAAGCAACAAACCCAAGGTCCGAAGGCGAAGTCGTACTGCTGACTGTACAGAGGTGTGACAGCAGTAAGGTGTTTCCTTCAGACAACCAGCATGACAGCGATGCTGCCTTCCCACAAGGAGGGGTGGGGTTAGAAAAGGTCGACCCTAAAAATGCACACCTCACCTTACCTCACGGATTTCCGTCTCCGGCGGTAAGGCCCTTCGAAGAACGGAGCTAACACAAAAATTACTCATAAAAAGGTCGTGCGTGACCGACCTAAAGCAGTTGTTCCTTGGGCACTGCGGTCACGCTCTCAGGTCACTAAGACCACCTCTAATCCGATTTCCTTTCCAGGTACCTCCAGAACAACCCTTCTACGGTGTGGGCAACCGGGAAGTGATAACCGCCCTCATACTTCTAACAGCACTCAAGACCATTGTATTCATAATCAACTTCCCTCTTCAATTCCTATTATTCCTCCCACATCGACTTTCACCTCTAAACTTCCTCCTTCGGTTTACCCCTCAAGTGTCACCATAGCTGACGATTCTAGTGCTCAAAACACTGTCCCAGGTCTACTGAAACCTCGCTCCAAACTACACATTGGAGCCTTCAATGTACGCACCCTATGTCAAATCGGTTAACAGGCTTCCTTGGCTAGAACCCTAGAATCTCGTACCATTGATGTATGTTGTGTCTCTGAAACACGCATACAGGATCCCAGTGTGGTCATTCACTTGACCTCACCTCGGCAAAACGGAGAGCCAGCGAGATACTCTCTGTGTATCTGGTGACCCGACGGCCAGCTCTCGTGGACTGGCAGGAGTGGGGATAGCACTAAGCATGAAGGTTGGACAAGCACTGTTAGAATTGATCCCCGTTAACAGTCTTCCATGTGCTGAGGCTGTATACGCGTGGCCGTATGGGAGTATTTCGAGAGGGAGGGAGAACCCATCCCGCTCTCGGCCATACCAGGGCATTTGGGGGCTAGTTATGCCCACGAAAATTTGCTACCTCAAGATGATAGAAAGCAAATTGTGAACTTCGCAGTTCACAACACGTTATCTGCTAGTTGACTTATAAAGTAAATAGTACACTGGGAAGTTCAACTAGTACTGTAAAAATCAAATGAAAATGGAAGAGATTTTACGAGGAATTTAGAGTAGACTAATACTAAGTATGCTAGTAAAAAATTTTTATGAACAACTTACACATCGAAAACTTTAATTTGTTTATCATCTGATGCAGAAGCCAATAGACGTCCATCTGGTGAAAATGAAATTGAACGTACCGGTGTGGCGTGTCCATCCAAAAATTGAACACTCCCTGTTTCTAAATCACAAATGCTGACAAGCCCATTGATTGTTCCAGCAGCTAGCTTAGATCCGTCAGAGATCTTGTTTATATAAAGAAATTTATGTAAAAGAAGTGAAATATTATTATCAATTTGTAATTGGTAAGGCTCAGTCATCTACAATGTAGGACCAGGAACATATATGCATTGGTCCAAGTTGCTATATCCCATTAGCACAACAAGATGGACACCAAAATCATGGAAGCAGTTACTTCAATGATAGTATTCTATATACAAAAATGACTGTATATAAGGATATAATAGAAGGAGAAGGGATTGGTAATGCTATATATAATGTAACACTATAAATTAAAAAAATAAACTATTAACAAACTATGACAAGAATGTGAAAATGATCATGGAAATATAGTCAACAGCTTGACCGTAAACAATAAAAAAATCATAAATGGTCAGAGATCTACGAATTCACGAAATAAGTAGTTGAAAACATTTATATAGTTAAAATCTACAATAAAGCTGACCGTTCATCTCAAATGTTCTGCAGATATGACAAAAAAGACCATTTCCTTTTGTCCTAAAGCACAAATCTCAAGTGTAGTCACTGAAATAATATTTGAGGTGTGGTATACAACATAATGTAAGTCGCCGGAAGAAGTTAACTTTAACACGTTTAAATACCTGAAATTTACTCAAACCATGAAGGAAAGTGACTTAGATTTTAAAGGGGAAATAAAGCTATGAATTAGTGGTATAAATTTTCTTAGAAAATACGATGGTAGGTTTAAAATATTCACCAAGTACATTTGATTTGATGTAACCGATAGTATGGCTAAACCTGAGATAAAAAAAGTTTAGCTTAAAATCTCCTATATCATATTGCAATCAAACACAAATACATATAGGAACCCCTTAAAAAACTAAATATGATGCTCAATATGAAGGAATTTCGTAAAATAGTATTTCTTTTAATGCTTTATTGATAAATTTGATAACTTGGATATTTATACAGACGTCAAGTACTTATGCCAACTGAGAAAAAATATCACCAGCAGGTTGATGAAGCTTACACATATGAGTACAGATGACAAACGTTGTAACAACTAATAAAAGCACAACGAACAGATAATGGTGATCGTCTGCTGCAACTGTGCTCAGACAATCGTTTATTTTTAGCAAACACAAATTTTAAGCATAAGGAGAGACATCGTCTAACATAGCGACCCCCTACACCAAACCAACGATGGACTCAAATAGACCATATTGCCATCAGTCATCGTTGGAGAGGGTCGGTAGAAGATTGTCGCTCATCCTGGAGTACCTTCTTGGACTCCGACCACGCCCTAATACGGGCACGCGTCTGCTTGCGCCTCACTGGACGCAAAAAAGCCACAGTAAAAAGACCCATTAGAACTAAATTGAGTAGCGAGGAAACCAAAAGTAGGTTCCAGGAACAACTGAGGTCACGATTAGGTAGTTCTGAAAACGAGGCTGACCCAGATGTTGCTTGGAAAGCTATACAAACAGCTGTGGAAACAGCAGTGATATCTATCAGTGATTTAAACCACAGGGTTACAAGGAACCAATGGATTTCCTCTAGGTCTATTGCACTGATGGATTCTCGTAAACTCATCCCATCAGGCTCTGAACACGATGAAGAGCGAAAACAAATCAGATCTAGGTTAGGCAAAAGTCTAAGGAACGACCGTGAGCAGTGGTGGGCAACGAAAGCAAAAGAGATGGAAAAGGCTGCGGTTATAGGGAACACAAGACAGCTCTACAGACTAATAAAAGAAACTTGAATTAGCAAGTCAAGTGTAAGTCAGACTATTTCGGAAAAAGACGACGCCCTCATCTGCTCTCAGTCCAGATGTTTAGAACGATGGGCGGAACATTTCAGAGAACAGTTCAGCTGGCCTCCAACTACTCTACAACTACTCTCCATTCCCAGACAGTGTGGATGGTACATTGAAGTAGGTTTCCCAACTCTAGCAGAAGTTCGAAAGGCTATAGCTAATCTGAAACGAGGAAGGGTAGTTGGTTCAGATGGATTGGCTCCAGAGGTCTTTAAGGATGGTGGTCCAATCTTAGCGATTAGGTTGACTAATATTTTAGCTAAGATCTGGGAGTTAGACGTTATCCCATCTAACTGGTCACAATCACTTATCGTCCCAATATATAAGAGAGGTTTAAAATCACATCCTGTGACAACCATAGTATCTAAAATACTAGCCTCAATAACTGTCGTACGCTCAACAAGGACTCGTGAACTGCAAACACGAGAGAATCAAGCTGGCTTCAGTACTGGTCGTGGCTGCATCGACAACATATTCACCATTCGTCAGGTTCTAGAACACAGGCATACTTACCGGCGTCCGACAGTGGTGGTCTTTCTTGACTTGAAAGCAGCATTTGACTCGGTAGACCGCGAGATTCTGTGGCAGTGTCCGTCATTGAAAGGTATACCTCAGAAGTACATAAACCTTGTAAAGGCTCTTTACTCTAACACTACTAGTCGAATCAGAGCTTATGGCGAACTATCATCTGCTTTTGCAACCTAAAGTGGTGTCCGTCAAGGCTGTCCACTTTCTCCAGTTTTGTTTAACTTCATCATAGACTTGTTGAGGGAAATAACATTCTCGTCTACTGAATTCTCGGGTATTGACCTCCTTCCAGGAGGTCCACTTATCGACTTAGAATACGCAGATGACATAGTCCTGTTTGGTGAAGACGCTGATAAAATGCAGAGCCTTCTGGTAGCAATAAGTAACAATGCCAGAATGTTTGGGATGCACTTCTCTCCCTCTAAATGCAAGTTGTTGCTTCAGAACTGATCTGTGTCAACACCTGAACTAAGGATAGAGAGTGAAGTAGTCGAACGCGTTGACAACTTCACTTATCTTGGAGGTCTGATCAGCCCTAATGGGTTAGTATCGGACGAAATCTCAGCACGGATTCGAAAAGCTCGTGTGGCTTTTGCCAACTTACGTCACCTTTGGCGAAGGCGAGATATCCGTCTATCAATAAAAGGACGAGTATACTGCGCGGCAGTCCGTTCTGTTCTACTTTACGGCAGCGAAACATGGCCATTAAGAGTAGAAGACATTCGTAAGCAACTAGTATTTGACCACAGATGCCTTAGAAATATTGCTGGCATCTGCTGGGATCACCGGGTAAGTAATAGTGAGGTTAGACGCAGGGTATTAGGGAATGATAGTAAATCAGCTGATGAGGTTGCGAGTCTTCATCCACTGAGATGGTTGAGCCACGTGCTACGTATGCCCGAACACCGATTACCACGTCGTACAATGCTAACCGGTGTTAGAGATGGTTGGAAGAGAATTAGGGGAGGCCAAACCAAAACGTGGCATCAGTGCTTGAAGACACTAACTTCTAGTCTGAGCCATGTTGGTAGATGCAGACTACTTGGTTGGGGTCCGCGTGACTTTCGTAACCAATGGTTGGAGACTCTTGGTGACATGGCTCAGAATCGATCACAATGGTGTCGGTGTATACACTCTCTGTTTTCCCTTAAACTATGAGACTAAATTTACTTTAGATCTTCCTATCTACGCACTAAATCTTTCTTCCTGTACTATATCCATATTGCAATCTTTCTTTTATATATCACCACCTCTGAATTAATTACTTTTATGAATCCGGTGTCCATCTTGTTGTGTTAATGAGGTTTGGCAACTTGGACTAATGCATATATGTGCCTGGTCCTACGTTGTAGCTGACTGACTGACTGACTAATATAACCTCAAATGTTTCAAAATGGTAAACAATAATGGTAAGAGAAAGTCATGTTGTTTGTTCTACTATTTATAGTATTTTGCTGATAAGGTTCAACTAATTAACTTCATACAATTAACTGAACGACATTGAAAACATTTAGTTGATAGACATTTACAAATTTTGAACAATGTCGAAACAAAAATAATTAATTGCAATATGATACAATTAATTGTCTCTTGATTGCCTTAACAATCATACTTTCGGCAGCATAATGAACATGCTGTTTTCCCATTGAGAGAGACATTTAAGAGGAGTACTGGAAACAAAAATAGGATTCAGTAGATAAATATTTAAACGAATAAACTTCTTTTTGCTCAGAAAAACAATAGACTGTAAGTAATAATAGAAAATTATTCTTCGAATAATTAACCACAACACAACAGAAAAGAAAGCTTACATAAGCAAGGCTGTAGACAAATTTCCCTTCTAATTGAATAGAACCCTCTTTCTGAGCAGTTTGTACATTAATCATATTTACACAGCCTGTATGACTCCCAGTAGCTAGGAAACGCGAATCAGGAGAGAAAGCAACAGTCCAGGTATCAGCTGGATCACCGTCATATGTTTTTGTTAACTTTCCTGTTTCCAGATTCCATAATAAAATCTGTTGAAATATGTATAATAGAACATAACAAAAATTAACATCCTATACAGCACACGAAAGAGATTTGAAATGGCTAGAACTTAATCGATGTGTCTAATCAATAAACAACATTTAATGTGATTAGTGCATTACCCCAGCTTTGAAAACGCATGTAAACTATAACTGCTTAGTGATAATGCGACAAAATCTTTTTTACGGTCATGATACGCCAATAAAATAGACAAGACACAATAAGAGAAGAAAAATGAACACCAATTTGAAGGAAAACGAAAACAATAGGACTGTTGGAAATTCTAATGAAACAGAAGGTAAAGAGAAGCAAATAGGAGTGAACAAAAAGGTAGTTAAAAATAAATTGTTATATCCACATCCATTGTCACTACTACTTAAAAACGAGGAACCACTAAAATTCCCACAGAGCAAAGTAAGAACACAAAGGACTGATACAGGTGAAGATTTAATCACTCCAAAACGCGACAACCCTAGCCAAAAAATACCATTACTTACATATCGGTTTGTACACCTGCTTGATTATCAATTTACAAGTCAAATATATAAAATGAAACGAATATTATTCTGAGCAGTTATCACGTTGAATTTAAAAAAAGATATGCTTTCGCCATTTTATCCCATCTAATCAAAATAGTCTTCATATAATGAATGAGATCACACATACTGTCTACCTATTCCGATTTATAACAAAACACTTACAACTGATTAATCATAGAGTAGTAACTAATGTCGCATATTAGCGTTGACCAAATGCTAGTGTTCATGTTTCATTGTGACCACTGGTTTAAGTGACTTGATATCACGTGTACTACGCTGAGATGTCAGAAGGTTGGAGGTAGTCGACGGAAAACCGTAGATCTGCTATGTGTAAACCCACACTCGTCGATCGATAGCACTCGGTAAGCATTAGGAAGGACTCAATATACGTGACACTGAGTACTATTTAGTGATCAATTAATTATAAATATCTTAGTCCCATCGGAGGTTAGCTCGAATTCGCCAGAGAGCATAAGTTCCTTCAAAATTACAAGACTGCCGCTCCATTGGGAGTACCTATATAGACTCTGATCATGCCCTCGTTAGCGCTAATCCTATCTTACTTTTTAATGGCCAACAAATTCACCGACTTAAACGAATCGATTTCAGTAAATTGGTTGCAGCTTCTGTTGCAACTAAATATCAAACTGAGCTAGGTTCAAGGCTACCTAAAATCCTACCGAAAAGTATAGATGAGCATTGTTTGCAACTGAACGACAGTCAGTCAGTCAGTCAGTAACAATGTAGAACTTCGTACGTACATCAGTTCGAGTTGCCACACCACACTACAACAGAGATGAAGTTGTCCATTCAAATCCCGTAGTGGTAGAGGTGGCAAGAGTATACGCAGTAATCGGAAAGATTAGGGTTTGGAGATGTTATTCAAGGAGTATAATACAGTGAAATAAATTTGGAAAGAGGAAAAAGAGACAACGAGGAATTAGAAGACTAGAATTTGGAAGAACACAAAGAGTGGATGCACCTGCGCCATTGCAAACGATTTTGAGCCATGTCATTCAGGGTCTCTAACCATCGGTTGCTATCATCTCGCGGATCCCAGCCAGGTAGTCTACACCTACCAACATGGCTCAGTCCACTTGTCAGTGACTTCATGGATTTGTGCCATGTTTTGGTTTGGCCGCCCCTAGATTTCTTCTAACCTACTCCTACACCATAAAACATAGCACGTCGGAGTAGTCGGTCGTTGGGCATACGTAACAAATGTCCCAGCCATCTCAACTGATGAAGTTTCACTACTTCATCAATTGACTTGCTATCCTTACCTAGTACCCGTTTCCTAACAACTGCATTACTTACTCAGTGGTCCCAGGATATACGAGCAATGCTTTGAAAACACATGTGATCGAATACTAGTAACCTACGAATATCCTCTACTCGTACCGACCATGTTTCACTGCCATAAAGTAGGACGGAGCAAACTGCTGCACAGTAAACTCGTCCTTTGGTTGGTAGAAGGATATCTCGCCTACGCCATAAATGACGCAAGTTGGCAAAAGCTAGTCGATCCTTCTGTATCCGTGCTGAGATTTCGCCACACACCAGACCACAAGGGCTGATGAGACTTCCCAGATAAGTGAAGCGGTCGACACACTCAACTACTTCACTCCCTATCATTAGTTCGGGTGTCGATGCCACTTAGTCCTGAAGTGACATTTTGCATTTCGAGGGGGGATCGCATCCCGAACATGCTTGCATTGTTGCTTAGGGTGGTCAGAAGACTGCATTTTGTCAGCATCTTCACCAAATAGAACTATGTCATCGGCATATTCTAGGTCAACAAGTGAATCTCCCGGTGGAAGTTCAACCCTTGGAAATTTAAATGAGGAAAGTGTCATCTCTAAAAGCACGTCTACGATAAAGTTAAACAAAAATTGAGAGAGTAGACAGCCCTGATGAACACCACTTGACGTAATCGATTCTGATGACAGTTCGCCACAAGCCCTCACTCGATCAGTTGTGTTCGAGTGGAGAGCCTTTACAAGGTTAATGTACTTCTTTGGTACTCCTTTCAGTGACAAACACTGCCATAAAACCTCACGATCAACAGAGTCAAATGCCGCCTTAAGGTCGAGAAATACTACCATTGTGGGGTGTCTGAATGTGTGTCTATGTTCTAGGACCTGACGTAGAGTGAATATCTGGTCTATACAACCACGTTCAAGTCGAAAACCAGCCTGGTCTTCTCTAGTCTGCTCTTCACGAGCTTTAGTTAGGCGTCGAAGTATTATTGAAGCTAATATTTTAGACACTATATTAATCAAACTGATTCCTCTGTGACTGTCACAAAACTTTTGTCCTTTCTTATAGACTGGCACAATCAGTGATTGAGACCAGTTAGATGGGATAACGTGCATTTCCCAGACTCTCGGAAGGATTGCTGACATCCAGTGGCAACACCATGTTAGTAATGCAGATGTTCTGCATCGTGTGTTCGGGCACAGAGACGATAATGACACTAGTGTCACTATCTTCTTCCATCACCGACTTCAATGACTCGGACAGTTACCAAGAATGTATGCCTATAGAATTCCACTACGTGTATTATTTGCTGACGCTGGGACTGGTTGGAAAAAGCGGAGAGGTGGTTAGTATATGATATGGTGTCGTGGCATGAAAGAAGGCTGTACAGGACTGGCTTTTGTCGGTCCTTCATGACTCTCTTGGCTGGGTTTCGAGAGATGGTGCAACACCGTGGCTAGAGACGTTATCAGATATGGCTCAGAATATAAGTCAGTGGCGATCATGCTGTAACTTTATTTTACTTTCTTTATAAAAAAATGGACGTAATTTCTTTAACTGAAAGGATTGTTTCTGGTTGTACCTTTGCTGACTGAACTGCTTTTCGCATTATTATTATTTCACTATCATACACTAATTTCTGTTCGTTATTGTTCCCCGTTTTCTTATGCAGAACGTACATTCTTTATCTCTTCACATTCTCATCGTTATTGTATGGCACATATGTATCCGGTGCCCCTTTGCACCAATAATTGTGTTCAAATAAATAAATAAATATCCAAAATTACAAGCATAACTTAATGATGAGTGTAAAATACTATGAAATCCAGGTCCATAGTTTCATATCGACTACCTCCAATTAACTTACATCCAAACCAAATATGCATATTTCCATTTAGTTAATAAAATTAAAATATAACACAAGGCACCAAAATAAGGAAATAATACTGTGAATAAATCAAGAGGGAAAAAAGTACAGCCAAAACGTAAGTGGATAAGAACGGTATAGAATGGACGATAAAGCTTATCAAGAAATACAACCAAGGATTTTCTAGTTAACAGAGCAAATGAACAAAAGTTATCTGATGTGTTTGGTCACCTTTACTGTTGACAGTGAAATCTATGAGACTGATGTTATGTCCGAACGAAGAATAAATGAATGGTAACTGCTAGGAATTATTTATGGACCATTACTACATATATTCTTATTGAATAATCATTACGTAACTAGATCATTATATATATATATATATATATATATATATATATATATATATATATATATATATATATATATATATATATATATATATATATATATATTAATTATTGGCAAAACATTAAAAAATCATCGACAACTTACCTGGCTATCAAGACTGCTGGATGCTGCTAGTGTACCGGTTGAATTTATGTCAACCGAAATAACACCCAATCTATGTCCTTCAAATTGATAAAGACATTTTAACTGACTATTAATCCTAAAACAAAGAAATGGTGATAAACAGGTGAGCAATAATTGGATAAATAGAAATATGAAGAATTACAGAGTATTGTTGCTGAGTTGTTCATTATGATTCGACTACTTCGGTGTAGGAGTTTAACAAATAATCATAGTAAATTAGCTTTTATCTTAATTAATCAACTGAATATACTTTTATGTACTTTGCGTTGAGATACCTTGCAACTGCCAATAGAAATTCAGGAAAGATTACGGTCGAGAGTTTACTCATATATTCAAAATTAACAAGCAACACAAATCAAAACTCCGTAAAGTAGTTTAACCTTAGATAAATTGATTTAATTTATTACGCAGTTGGCACATAGAATATATAGTAAAAACCAATTATTGCTTTCTAATGAATCTTTTTGAAGCGTGAAATATGTGGTCCTCATTTTTTAATACTGAACATACGTATTTAACCCCTTTCTCCTACTTAGCTTTTTATAAATAAACAGACGTACTGTCCTTGATAGAATGTATGGGAATGCTGAGTTATATCATTTTGGAGAGTATGTGATCCCTTTCACGAAAATATTTACTTTAGCACTTGTTAAACTTTGAAATTACTTTCATATCACTTTGATTTCATGTGATTTTACGATGTTTACGAGAACATCTTTTATGAGGGTGACTTGTAATACGATACGGTTGGAATATATATATTAAATCTGATTATCAAACTCAATCTGAGTGGGGCCAAGATGCCTATAATTTGGATTATTTTAGCGAATCAGCTTCGATCAAATGATGGAGAACTTTTAGGGAAGTTTATAAGAATACTTATGATAAATAAACAACAAATAAGTATCGAACTGAGCTAGCCTCTAGGCTAGCTACCACTCCACCGAAAAGTATCGAAGAGCATTGGTTGCAATTGCATGACGCCATGAAAATGGCGGGTACAGTTAGTTGTGGGTTTGCGAAACGTCCCGCTTTTAAGCACTGGGTTTCTTCTGGTTCCTTACAACTCATTGAAGCCCAACGGTCTACTCCGGGTGACCGTGAGTTTGACCATAAACGAAGGATGTTACGTAAGGAAATCGGGCAAAGCTTGCGTAAGGACCGAGAAGCCTGGTGGTCGAAGCGTGCTAATGAGCTGGAAGCAGCAGCTGCATCTGGTAATTGCCGGAAGCTCTTCCAACTCATCCGAGCCACTGTCAGCAAGAAGTCTGGTGTGAGTGAAACAATCTGCGAGGATGATGGGATGCCAATCACTAACATCCATCGACGTCTTGGACGATGGGCAGAATTTTTCGAAGGGCAGTTCAACTGGCCTGCTGCTTCGGCAACATCGGTCAGACTGTCTTGCCCTCCATGGCCGGTGACGACTGATCCACCAAATGAGGAGGAAGTCCGCAAGGAACTCCAACTCTTGAAGCGTTACAAATCACCTGGCCCAGATGACTTACCTCTGGCTCTTTTTAACGATCGTGGTGACTTTTTGACTAAGGAATTGACGACGTTGTTTACAAAGGTTTGGGAGCTAGAGAGTGTACCAACGTCATGGAATGAGTCGATAGTTGTCCCTATCTTTAAAAAGGGTTCACGTTGTTCCTGCAACAACTATCGGGGGATAAGTCTACTTCCGATTGCGTCCAAGCTATTGGCTTCCGTCATACTTCGTAGATTGTTCAAAACCCGAGAAAGATTGACTCGCGAGGAGCAGGCTGGGTTTCGTTCCGGTCGAGGATGTATTGATCGTATCTTTACCCTCCCCCAAATGTTAGAACACTGTCATACTTATCAAAGGTCAATAATCGTAGTGTTTCTTGACATCAGGGCTGCCTTCGATTCGTTGGATAGGACTGTTCTCTGGGATTGTCTATTGAAGAAGGGTGTGCCTGAGAAGTTTATTAACATCCTAAAAGCCCTATATACAAACACCTCAGGCAGAGTGAGGGCATACAACCACCTCTCTCCATTGTTCCATTCGAGCAGTGGGGTTAGGCAGGGTTGCCCAATCTCACCATTCCTCTTCAACTTTGCCATCGATGACATTCTGGAAACAGCTCTGATGGATGTAAGTAATGGTGGTGTGGATCTGTTGCCTGGAGAAAGACTTCTCGACCTTGAGTATGCGGACGATATTGTCTTACTGTGCGATAATGCCCAAGGCATGCAATCCGCACTTAATCAGTTGGCAATCAGTGTCCGTAGATATGGTATGTGCTTTGCACCTTCGAAGTGCAAAGTACTTCTACAAGACTGGCAGGATTCCAATCCTGTACTCACCCTGGATGGTGAGCAGATAGACGTAGTCGAGAAGTTCGTGTGTCTGGGTAGCTGCATAAGTGCTGGTGGGGGTGTGAGTGATGAGATCAATGCACGTATAGTGAAAGCCAGAGCGGCTTATGCCAATTTGGGCCACCTTTGGCGCCTTCGTGATGTTAGTCTGGCTGTAAAAGGTCGGATCTACAACGCGTCGGTGAGAGCAGTTTTGCTCTATACTTGTGAAACCTGGCCTCTCCGAGTTGAGGACGTTAGACGACTCTCTGTGTTCGATCATCGCTGTCTCCGAAGGATTGCTGACATTCAGTGGCAACACCATATCAGTAATGCAGAGGTTCGGCATCGTGTGTTCGGGCACAGAGATGATAATTCAATTGGTGTGACCATCTTGAAACACCGACTTCGGTGGCTTGGACATGTTCTCCGAATGTCGTCCCAGAGAATTCCACGTCGTGCATTATTTGCCGACTCTGGGACTGGTTGGAAGAAGCAGAGAGGTGGTCAGTGCATGACATGGTGTCGTGGCATGAAAGAGAGCTGCAAAGGACTGGCTTGTGTTGGTTCTTCACGACTCCCTGGTTGGGGTCTGAGAGATGGTGCTACACAGTGGCTAGAGACGCTATCAGATATGGCTCAGAATAGAAGCCAGTGGCGATCCTGCTGTAACCTTCTTTTACTTTCTTCATAGAAAGTGGTTCTGCCTCCCTTACCTGAAAGATTTCTTCCGATTGTACCTTTGCGTTCCCTGTTTACTAGCACATTACCTTACACCAATCTCTTCGTTATTGTTCTCTCTTCTTTCTTTCTTTGTATTCCTCTCGAATTTTCATTGTTTTGTGTGGCGCATATATATTGGCGCTCTCTTGTACCAATATTCATGTGTCCAAATAATAAATAAATAAATACGAAGTTTGTACAAATATCTCAAAATTAGAGTGTGCTTTCATCAACTATGAAGTACTGAGTCATGTAAATATAGAATATAATTCGCAACATTAAACATAAAGTACATCCGAGAGTGTAGTTAGGATTTTTATAGAAACTGCGTTACTAGGATTACAAAACTACCTATGTACGTAGGTTAGATGGAATGTCAAGGATCACTAAAACAGAACCATCATTTGTGACGAAGTAACTAACCTACCAAGTACAGGTTTACGTACTCGGCTTTGAGCCATAACATTTGTATGAAGCTTGATGATATCACTACCTGGTTGACCAACCCGAAGTAATTAGAGTGGAGTTCAGACTGTCAACTTAGCCACCAAACTGCTACTCGAATTGTAAGTTTTGGATGTATATCTAAATAAGTCAATAACTGAGGGGTGGAATATACGAATAAGATTATAGTTTTTAAATCATTAAGTTTTCACTGAGAAAAATTTAACAAAGCTTTTAAGAATTATGCTATATCTAACCATACAGGAAAGCTAAAAATATTATTAGACCGTCGTAATTATCAGAAGCTATCTTCAGTCAACATCTTACAAAAAAAATACAAGCTTTATAAACAGTTTATGCATCTTAGACCTCAGCAAATAATGCACTTACCACTCCCAAGCGATGAGGCCATTATCTAAAGAACCTGTAATAATGTATTGTTTATTTCTGTTCCGATTTTCACCCCATGTGCAGCACCATATTCCTTCTTTGTGCGCTATAGTAAAGTATGCGGAATACATGTAGTAGGCAACATAAACGTGTAAAGTGTACATAAGTGTACACTAACATAAAACTATGACAGTAGTTCCTGTTCCGAATACTCAGTGACATTAGGCATGTTAGAAGTTAAGGATCAGTAAAACTTACTGACCAAGTATTAGTAATTTTAGTGGATTGAAAGCACGTTGGCCAAGGATAGAAACTATACCTAAGGACCGAAACTGAAGATAAAGTGCACAAAGTACCTGTAAATCCACTATTAGATGACCAGACCTTAAACTAAAGAGAATTCACTCGAAGTTTCATGTGTCAATCTTCAGTTAGAGAAATACTGAGAACAGATTAACCGTTTGCAAGCATTAGGTAAGCTCCATCCCTGGTTAGAACTATTAACCACCGTTGTCCTCAATCTCAGATTCAGATCAGAGCATATAACACTGCTAGTTTTAAAATAATTAGTGTCAAACATAGTGTACAATCCTTCAGATTTTATTGAGTCTTCTTGTATGTATCGATTTAAAGATAACAATTCTTTCGTTTGACTTCCTAATTTATGGGTGGCATAATTTTGTTTAATGAATATGTTGATATGAAACATTATTCTAGCTATCTTGGGTAACAATCGAAGCTCGAATTGGATGGGTGGCCCTCCCTCTAACCACAAAACTTCACTGCATGACTCTTCTATCAGTGCCTGGTTTGACTAAAAAGGGGTGAAATGGAGAAAAGTATTGACCATGCCATTTAAGTCTCACTAGCTCTGCTAGATCAGCGGCTGACGAAACCATAGGATGGATACAAGCCCCATTAACTTTTGCCGAATTGTTACTTATGGAATAGGTTAAAGGACGAATACGCTGAACAGAAATGTTCTGTAGTCCTCTACAGCTAAGAAATATGGATTGTAAATGTACAAGACCCGCACAGGTTCTGTGTTTGATTATGGATGTCTTTGAAGTTTGTTCGCGCATAGTGGAAGCTGCACACCTTTATCAACTGTAGACGAGAAGTGTTACCTATGCTTAATTACTGCTTGTTCTGCCAACCCATACTGTCTAAAATACGAATGGGATTGGAAGATAAATATATGGGATTATTACATGAAGTCATCAACTGCTAGTCTGAGTTATATCAGTAAATGGGAGCTTCTTAGCTGGAGTTACCTCAAAAGCCTTAATTTTGGTTGGAAGGATTGACACAAATGGGCAGAAACTAGTCCAAGTTGCATTCGCTGTTGCTTTTCCTCTAAATCCCAGCTCAACATTATTTACATTTTATGTTTAGCCATTTATGACAGTTAATACTATTTACTTCCCCCTGAGCATATCATCATGTCGACTTCCATTTTCGCTACGTTGACATGAGAATGTAAAAACTTGGATAGACACACTTCAGTGCACGTATTTTTAAGGTTTTATTACCGAAAAAGTTTTGAACGAAATAAGAAACGTAATGGATAAACTAGATATAAGAGATAAACAAGAACGAAATGAACAGAACGGTGGTTTTTCTCAACGAACCTTTATATAACCGATTAGTTTAGACTACTACGACCACAAATTTTACATATTTGCAATCCATGCTCCTTAAAGCGTTTGTAACTCAGAAAAAAGAACGGGTTTTTATCCTAAAACCCATTATTTTAAATGAATGATATGCAAAAGTTTATTAGGTCCTTAAAGGAATTATTAGCTTACCTTGTTTTTGTATACACTTGGTAGAGTACTGTAAATAATAAAATATTATTAATTGTCAGGAATAACGTACGCACAATATTGTGTCGAAAGACATTTAATGTCATAAGACGAAATAAACATGAAATGAATAAAATATAAAATGCATGTGGTTTATCCAGTTAGTCAGCAGTCATATCTAAAGTAGAATCTGGGGAAAAGGTCTACACCATATCAGCATGGAGAGATAAAATAATCAAAATAAATCTGAGTAGAAGTAGTAAAATTTTATTAATAGCAAGGAAGATTAAGTACACAGAGGAAAAGGTTAAAGTTTCGGCACTTAGAATCTAAGGAGAAACTAAGACTGAGTGCATCTGCACCACCGAGACCGGTTCTGAACCAGCTCACAAAACATACAATCATTGGTTACGATAATTGTGCGGACCCCAACTAGTTAATCTGCACTTGTCAACACAGTTCAATTCAATGGTGGAACTTCATGAATTAATGCAACGTATTAGTTTGGCCGCCCGTAGCTTCCTTTCGGCCTAATCCAACACCATAAAAATCCGTCAATCGATGTTTAAGCATTCAGAATATATGATCTAACCACCTCAGTCGATGAGGATTTGCTACCTCATCAGCCGACATGTCATCGTTACCTAGCATCATATGCTTAACTTCAATATTGATGATTTAGTGGTTCTTACATAAGCTAGTAATACTTCGAAAGGACGTATGATGCATCGCATTACTTTGAGCAGTGTTTTTCAGTTCATTTTAATTCACTTAACAGAATTTAAGAACGGAATTAAGTATGATCCGAGAATAAACCCGTTATCCGAAATGGTTAGCAATATGAAAGAGAAAGCAAATTATTGTAGGTAATAAAGCCCGTAAATTATGGAATTTGTGGTTACTATATTTTTACACAAACATGGAGATCTTAAAATATATTGTTAAATCAAAGATGGATTTGACATCAGAGTTGATTTCCATATAACATGTATATTTTTTTATTTTCATGAACCTCCGGAAACAAAGCTCCTATTGATTAAGAAAAGCAGTTGGACCTTAAGAACTATATTTTAAGCTCAGTTCTGCAAGTAGTAATTAGTTTGCAAAGAGGTAATACATGAGTATATTCCAACGAGTATTTCTGAGCAAGTGCTTTTAATGTGTTACTCCGCCTACCTCCCGTCAAATTTAGTGATGTGAGAAGTTTTAGGCTTTTTCGAACTACATTTTACTGCTGGTGAACAGTAGTCCGATTTGTCAAATCATGGGACATGATCCCAACCTTCCGATTTCAGGGAATTCGGGGAAGCTGTAATAGAAAATTCTGGGGAAATGGCATAAAAACCCCAAAATCGAGAGTGGGATATAAGTCAGGTCAAAATAAAGTCCAGGCATCCTTAGAAAATCTTGCGTTTACGATTATCCTGATTTAAAAAGTCACTCAATATCCTGATGGTGGTCTATGTACGTAGCACATTAACCTGGAAACGGTATTGTCTATTGCATGAAAACAAGGACCTGATAACTTTCCGTGCTAAACAAAATCAATACACTTTTCCTAAGACATACAATCGTTAACAAGTTCGCATCACAAAGCCTAAAAAAAATAATGTGGGAAAGTTTATATCTAAAAGAGATCTTTGGGGAGTAAGGATCCCAATCTCCCGATTTCGGGAAAAATCCCCAAAGTTTGGGGGAAAACCCAAGATTCGCGTTGCGCAGTTTTCCGAACAACCACTGTTTAAACCTTTCCGTTATATGAGAATGTGTGGGCAGATATTCCACTAGGCACAAAAAATGCATTTACGTCGAATAAAAGGGCAAACAATCGAGCCTAAAAGTATTTATACAAATAAAAGACAATTAGGCAATGCAGTTGAAATAATAGGCCGATGTTCTAAAGTGGCTACAATTCAGCTCTATCGACCACCGTGGAGGTTACTGAGCACATGAAGGTCAAACCGTCGCAAAGCGATTGATGCGTCACCCCGACAACTCGTAAGGTTTTGCAGAAGCGGTCAAATCAAGACAATTTTATATTTGATGTGAGTTTAGCTGCACGATATCTGATAGCCTCCATCCTTCAATTAACGAAAGTGGTGCCATCATAATAATGCATGATATGGGACGAATATTCAAAGACAGTGTGTAACGTCATATGCTACGTTTACCCAAATAGTTTGTTCTAGCTTCCTGACAAGCTAATCAATCCATTCTTCTTAAACCACATTCCGGCCTTGCCACTTGTTGGTTTATTTATTCTGACTGTTTTGACATGAGCTTATGTGTGTGCATATCTTATCCTACTCATCACGTGTCTGTAGCTTATTTTTATCTGGCTATAAATATTGATTAACTCTCGATAAAATCGAGTGAGCCCAATTGCCCTCTCCAATCCGCTTAGCTATTTCCTCTTTTTTCGTCTCTCCGATTGCCTGTTCAAGTCAATGAGTGCATGAAATATATATATTCAATATTCGTCCTCGTATTTGGCTTATTTCATTCCGTTATTAACTGACGCGATTCAAGTCGATGATTATATAAGAGGATTGGCTATATGTATATTTTAATAGCGATCAACATACAGTCTAATTGGAGTGAGATATAGACTCACTAAAGTGGTGAGCCCGTCGACAAATTCGTCCGATCTAATTGGCGTCAAGATATCAGGCCACTAAGACACTATGCTACCGCGACAATTTAACGATTGGGGAGACTTTGATACCTGCCTGAAAGAAGTACATAGGGTTATAGCACTTCCGTGATTAATAATTATTTGCACATTGTACGTCCATTAATTATGTCATTTCAATATTTAAAAAGAACGATGAACCAACTCTAAAGTAGTTTCTTGTTCGATGTGTTCGTACAAATCAGTGTAAGTTCAGGGCATTGAAACCATATGCCTGTCTTCAGGACGTAGATGATAATGGTGATCAAAATTCTACCGTAGAGCGAACACCCCTTAACGCACCATTACAACCTAGACAAAAAAGGTGAGGTCGGTAATCTACGTTTGCTTCATTTCAAGTGCATTTATCCTTCGGATCAAAATATTGCTACTATCATTCTGGATTTTTGGTCCGTGCAGTAAATAGCGAGCTAAAGGTCACTTTTATTAAAACCGTGCAAAACCATCTTTGCACAGAAGGATATATTTCTGTAAATCCTTCGAGACGACAGTCGTCATCAAGTGAACAATTTTATTTAAGACCGCTTCCTATGTGCAACTCGCCAACGAGTATCATTCGATATCTGTTTTCTTGAAAGTTACGCAAGCAGCTTACCAAGGAAAATGTTTTCAAAATGCGGTCACAGTTGTGCTCAGGTTTTTTTAACTCACATCCTAATTAACTGAGTATAGACATTAAATATTTCAATGAGATTTTACAGCGCTTCAGCAAAACACAGAAGTATGGGTACTTGAAAAAAAGGGACATGTCTATGATTTGCTTCAGTAGCATGAAGCAAGTAGCTATCTAACACGCTTCCTAGAGGTGGTATGTATTGACTCGACTTACCAGATTAACAAAGTTGGATAGGTAAAGAATAATAACAACTTTATTTTGAAGCTTTCTATTATTCCAGCTAGTCGTTCCTGATAGTCTTGAGCGTGGGTACACCGCTATGTATGCTTGTAGGGCCAATAAAATGCTACCGAGCCCTAGCCAAATCATCTGTCAATTTGGTCGCTGAATATTGAACAGTTCATCGACCCCCTTCAGGGTCAAGAACAAACAACGCACATCAGTTAATCTCACACTATGGACTGGCCCATGCGTTAGTAATCACGCTTTCCTTTGTACCTACTCTAACTAATATATTTGTATAATAACGGTCTTCAAAGCATCCGTGGTAACAAGATACAACGAATAGATAATCCACGTTAGGTGCTGACTGTGAGATGTGACCTCGCCGTTAGCTTTTGGTCACACCACTCGCGCCTAACTCGGGTAGGCCCCCGATCATTCGACATAGATCATCTACGTTGGTGATCGACATGCTCTTTGCAGTACAGATAAATGCCGCTTCGAAGGTTGCTTATCCATCAGGAAGACTGATGACGTTATATGGAATGTTTTGTTCAGTCAAACAAACAGAAATTTTCAGGTCCTCTTTTCTCGGTACTTCTAACTGCATTTACTAATTTACATCTGTTTGGGTCGAGAGTTATGTTACCCTTGTCAACAACCTATGCTTTTTCTGATAACCACTCACTTTATGAGCATTTGTGGGATCACGGTCTACTTCGCTTTTAGTACATTTGTCTGCACCACTGTAATAGTATAGCCGATTCAAGAATTGTAAATGTGTCATGATGTGGCTACCCAATCCACAAGATTTTACATGGAAGTTACATCATTGTCTATTCTGACCAATTATATCGTAAAATCAGCAATACAATGTCTAACACTTCTGAAGAACATATTTAGGCTGGAGATAAAATTACATATTTCATAAAACCTGGGATAAGTTACGTATAGTGACCACGCCCGCAAGGCCGAGCCATTGCATATCGACTAAATTATTTCTGTGTTCACGATTATTGACATCCATCAAGTGTTACATGTTTAAAGTAAATTTTCCCAGTGATTATATGTTTACCTTCGAGAGTTATGTGGTTAGGAGCCAAATAAACATAGCAAATAGCTATCTATCACGCGTTTCTAGAGGTAGTGTTTATCAACTCGATTTATCAGACTTAAAAAGTTGAGTAACTAATAATAACAACTTCATTTTGTTGTCCACTATTACAGCTAATCATTACTGGTAGTATTGGGCAAGAGCAGACCCTTATGTATGCACTTTGTAGGCAAGAACGACTCAAAGATGTCGAAAGATTACTCGAGTACTATAAGACAAGGTGGGAGGGTGGAGTAACTGACCAGTAAGAATTGGTGGTGAGGGCCATGACCTCAATCCACCCATGTTTTTGGAGCAGAACATTTCGTTTGTGTCAGGATGTTTATGATTGAAAGCGAGTCAATCAATCAGTGATATTGAAATTGCTCTTCTATGCTCACTATTTAGATTCATGTTTCCAATTTTGTACTGGATTGGCTATTCTACCAAGACAACATATAACATACTAATTCGGATTTTTATACCAAGCTGTGTGGTTGACACCTAATGAAAAAAATGCTGGAGAAAAATTTCAGACAGTAAAAGATATATTTATCAGTTTTCTTAACACTTTGCTCTGTCGTTGCAATTTTCGTTCTAATAAATAGCCTTTATTATTCTAATTTAGACTTCCACCTTGTTAAAGATCACAACTCATTGTCCTTTATTACTGCATTATCTCATCCAGAGGCTCTAATCACATTTCACTCTAGCAACAATGGCCATTATGAATTTAATCTAGTAATTTATCATGTATCTCTCTGTTCCACAACAAAATGGTGAGTGTTATTTTGCGTTTAGATCCAAGTGCCTTGCTGCTCCTCTGTTTCTCTTTTTCTCACAATCTTGCTCTGAGTGCACAGCTATGGAACGTTTGACTTCTGGAACGCGTTTTCTCAAGGTCATAGTTCACACTATGCCCTCTACAAATCTACTTTATGACAGATATAAAATTAAAAAGTTGTATTGCATAAATACCTAGCACGACCAAAACTCTAACACAATTATGCCGATGTTGGATCTGGTGTATAACATGGACGCGACACCACCCTACTCATTGTAATACTAAAACATAAACCTCATCAATCCAAGACATCCGCACGAATGAACTGTTATTCACTTTTATTAATTATATTTAGTTAACGACCCTACTTGGAACGCATACTGTGAGCTAACATATGTTGTAATTTAAAGATCATGCCTGTAAAAATGGCGCATACCTGCTCTTGCAGAAACATATTACTATTAATACCACCAAATATTTAATTAACTGAAGAAATCATACAGTTCATCACCTTTAATGGTATTATCTAAGCGGTACTGATTTCAAACACTTAATTCCAAACTGACAGACTTATATCTTTTGCTTAACCCAATACTTACAACTAGCTTTTGTGCTAGGTAACTTCTTACCATCAATCTTTAGGCACTTATATGAAGGAATGGTTCGACACGTGATCAAAACATCGAGTTTATGGCATGGCTCTCACTTTTATGCTCTTGTTGAATTAATTGCGGTCACTTGTCCGTACATGATTCTGGAAATTATCACTATTGCCATGTAAAAAACCTTACGTTTCATGAAACTATTCGTATACTTTCGCAGTATGGCCGAATCTCATAACACATGTGTTTTCTATTTGATTATCATCAATATGGGCACGAATTCGTTGTACTGTTCATATGTTAAACGGCTAGCCATCTACTAATGTTGTTCACTTCACTGTGGTTTGTTAGAACTGTTGTCGTACTTAAAGCTTCAAAATTGCTTCAGTCTGAAATTCGCAGTTCCTAATAAATATCCGGTCATTATTCAAAGTTATTCGGCCACACCGATCGTGATTACTCTTGCAATTTGATCACTACTTTTATTAGTATTCTGGTGCCTCGTTCGTGATGGCGATCACACATCACAGCAAATAACGTCAAAGAATGTGGAAAGAGACATCACTCTCTGTTGCATAGTGATTTATCTGTCAACAGCTTGAAAGATAAGTCTGACAGGGAGAATTGTTGCGAATGTGTTAATTCTTTAAGCAGTCATTTGTGCTTCGGAGTGATTCCGGTGCAAATAAATTCGGGAGACTCTAAAATTTCCGGCTATATTCTTTTGGATAACGGTTTTGACACAGCATTAATAAGGTTGGACTACTTGAAATTGCTCGGGTTGCAGAAAGAACAAGTATTGGCAGTGATCCAGACAGTTGGTGGCAACAGAACAGCAAAGGTTATAATTGTGCTTTTTGAGATGCATTCATTAGATCAAACTGAACACGTTAAGATCGAAGTGGTTTTCATCGTGGAAAGTATGCCCGGTCATAGGCTGGTGAAGTCAGTAATGACAATCTACGTAAG